AAAGACTTAATATTTTGTGACGGGTTTTGATATTGTTTTTGATATTTTTATAACATTAATAGCAAATTTTATTTTTGTTTTATTAATATGATAAATTTAAGATACTAATTTCAACAATAACCTAGTATAAAAATACTCTATCTGTCTCCGTCTCTCTCTTTGATTTCATTATTTAATATTAAGGTCATATTTAAGTATATTAAAGCCTATAGTATTAAAAACTCTAGCTGAACCCATTTTATCTTGAAAAATATACTACTCTACATTACCAGCAGTATTTCTGTTGCATACAATTAAAGCATAAATTTTGCAGCAGATACTATATACTATAATCAAAATTAAATATTTTATTTTCATATGAATAAAAATTATTGAAAAGATGACTACAACAATAAGAAAAACATTGAAATTATAGTAAAAAAAATAATTAAAAGCTGTTAAGACTTAATAAATGCGTGCACAACCACCGATTAAAAAATTCAAAAAAATTTTAAAATAATTTTTGTTCCAATTGAAATTATAAAATGAATTTTTAAAAAGAGTGGTGCAAAATTCATAAATCGTAGAATTTAAGCACAAACTATATAGAGCACCAAAAAGATTATTCAACTCTTATAATAAATTTAAAAAACATAAAAATAAATCAATTTTATATTAAATACAATGAAATGAAATCAAGATTTTCATTAAAGGACATCATTTTACAACTAAATTTGAAAAACACATTTCATCAAACAATATTTCGAATAGTTTAAAAAAAAAAACAATTTAAATTCAAATTTACAATAGAAATTACATCTACGTACATATGATTAGGATTTTGCCCAGCAGCCGACCGTACCAAAGGGGGTGGAGGGTTGCCCTGTGCATGATTATTTACGGGTTGCATTGAAACAGCAGCATTATTGTATGAATATGGCGGGCGATTGCCGAGCAATGCAAGATTATCCATTGGATTCCGATACTGTCCACGAGAATTTGCATGCGATTGTTGTGCCTAAAATAAAATTATATAAATCATATTTTTATTAAATTATATGACAATAATTCATTTTATAAGGTATATAACAATAATTACTTTTATATAATAATAATTTTTTTTTTAGGTTTAACATACAATAATTAATTCTATATTAATAAATAAGTTTTAAGATATATATTAGTTTATTAAATATTTTTATACACACAAATTTAGATGTTTTAAAGTTTAGTTTATAGTTTAAATTGCTATAATAGCATTAAAAAAAATGAAATAACTGGGTTCTTTGCTATCCAGTAAAAAAGTATACTTTCAATCAATAGTACCATATAACTTATTTGCCAAACAAAAGTCAGTTAGCTTTTTCAGAATGAAGATCACAACGTTTCTTATTAAGGGAATACCAAAAAAATAGAATAAGATCTTTTGGATTAGTTTGAATATGTTTGGTTATATACCATCTTTTTTATATATACAAATAATTGTACCAAGAAGTGTCATTCCATTTTGGATAAAAAAATTATACTTGAAAAATGTTAAATTATATTATATTCATAACAATTACAAATTAAAAATCAATAAAAGTAAAATATTTATTCAAACACAATGATTTACATAAACAAATATTCTATATCTATCTATATGTATCCTGTGACCGTAATTACAGCTTATAAAAACTAACATAAATTTCAAGTTTTATAAAATTATATGTTTTACTTAAGACTACGAATCGGTAAATGATGGCAATGCTTGGTATTAGAACAGTATCTCTTTAGGAATCCCTATTTAATGTTGTTCCTTTAATAACATCAGATTTTTGACAGCTAATCTAATCTAACTTAATTTGCATTCATAATTCTGTAATCTAGTTTATAAGTAACAGAATCCACCTTTGTTTTTTAGTGACTTTATAATGAAACTTCTGGAATGAGTGAGCTAGTTACTTAGTTAAACAAATATTTTATAGTATATATACCGCCCGTTCCTTTCTGTTGATAGTTAGTGGTATAACTATAAATATATAACATATATTCAACGACTGTGACTATGGTAAGTTGATATGACTTATTTTAACTTTTATACTGAATCAACACGAATGACATAGAATACACTTTTGTAAATTAACCAATTCGTATTAAATCGTATTAAATTTATTTATCACAATGATAGAGAAGATGTGGATAACTCATATCTATAACAATAAACAAGAACCATTGCAACAATTTTGCATTAAGGCTCGAGTCAATTGTACCAAATTTTATATGGTATTTGTGAATAATTGAATTGTTAAAAAATTTCTTACGATAAAGATAGTTTTATAGTTTAAGAATAATTTAGAATAGACAGATTTACATATAATAACTGTTTATCACAGCACTATATTCTGACGTAAATTAGGCCAAATCAATTCATGTCACATTCTAGGAGATAATATAGACGATGGCATTAAAAATTTTTTTTAAATTTTCTAACTTTTAAATATTACCAGGATATCAGATTCTACTTCTTTTTATTGTAAGTTGTAATGGAACATTAAAATAGAGTTAATAATTTACATAAATATTACTAAATTTAATAATAAAAATAAAATTTAAAAACAAAATAAATTTTACTGTAAAAAGAAAAAAATAGAAATTTTTAATGTACAAGTTTTTGCAGTCAGGCTTTTTATATTAAGTAGGTCAAACTATTTTTAGTAACATCATAGAAATTATACATATATATACATATAAATTTAAATATATATACACCTAAAGTTGCACAAACTGATGCGTATATGTGTTTTTATATACGACTGTTACAAAGTAATAGATAAAAAAAAATTTTTATTATTATTTTGCTCAAATTAATTAAACGCATAATAATTTTAAAGACTTAAAGATTTAACAATTTGATATGATGGATGCAGTATATTATTTAAAACAACTACTAAATTTTGAAAAGCGTTTAATGGTAAAAAAAACAGATTTAATAAATAATAATAAAAACTGTTTTGTTTGTACTATAGTTGCAGTTAAAACACAATAAAAATGCCGAAAGTATTTTAATTAGCAAACAACATTGCATACGTAGGAACAGCCAAACAACAATTGAGCAGATTGTGATAGAAGCAAAACTTATATTCGCACTCTTCTTGCGCATTAATAAATGCTGCATATATACTTGTCCATTTTTTTTTCGTTTATTGCCTCTTTATTTAAAGACAGCTGATTTGTTTGCATGTGTACTGTTTTTGTCTGCTTGCTATTTCTTAAACTTTATTTATTGGATTTAATCCCATTATTTTTCTTAGCATGTTTAAAATGAAATTTAAAAAAGGATATTTAGTTTGTTTTGAATTTTTTTTTTTACTATTGGCATATGTGTTACACAAAAAAAAATAGATTGGTTTTGTTTATACTGTTGAAAATGTTGTTAGCCGCAAAAAATTAAAAAAAAAGTATATTTATATATATCCATACATGTATCAATAGTATCATATTTTGATATTAATTGCATAAAAACTTAGTTTATATAATTAAATAATTGAAATTTTATGTAAAACATAATATAAATATAGAATATATACAAACATAGAATATAGAATATATATAATATATATTATATATAAAATAATAATATAGATATACAACATATATATAAAATAATAATTTAAATATTACATTATAATATATTATATTATTTATTATAATAATAATAAAAATATAACTAACTTTATTTCTATTTTTCAATAAAAATATATAATTTAACAATTTACTTTCGAAAAAAAGTTAATTGAAATTATAAATATATACTGAATTAGTGTTTTGTTTTTAATAACAGTATAAAATTTGTTTATTTATACAGTTAAACCAATAAAATATAATATAAAACATATCTAAATGTAGAATATGTGAGGTTTCTAAAAGTAGTAAACTTCAACAACAAGGATTCTCTTTTACATTTTTTAATACATAAAATAATATGAAAGATTTTTTGTTGTAGTCACTACTTTTCAGAATATATAGAATATTTTAGAATATATATAATATACATCAATATAGAATATATATAACGTAAACATATTATAAATATAGAATATAAACAAAATATATGTAAAATAAATATAAATATAAGATACATGTAACATAAGTAGAAATATAAAATAAATGCAATATAAATATAATATAAAAATATAATTAATATAATATAAATATAATATAAAAATAAAATATATTTTATAATTTCTTAAAAGAATAATTTATTATATTGTAAAATTATTTCTTTATCCTATATATTGAAGTTGTTGCTATATATTCTAAAATTTTGCATCATATATACCATGAAGATGACTATGCATGCAATATAATTGAAATATCGTTGCAAACAAAATAAAAAAATGGTTTTCTAAAGCTAATTAAAAATAAAAAGTTGTTTATTATTTAATATTGCTCAACTAAGCCGTTTAGAAATATATTAATAAAAATATGTAATTTAACATTTTATATTAGAAAAAAGTAATTTTAAATTATAAATATTAATTTTTAATTTAGTTTCTATTACATACTAAATTAGTGTTCATTCTCACTACTACTCATTATTAATTTTAGTAATAAATAATAAGTAAAAAATTATTTCAGAAACTAATTGATGCATATGTATATAACAGTTTATTTAAAAGCTTTCGTCTCTTCGATAATTATTTCGATAAATAATTATATACGCAAAACTGTTATTTATATATATATTTATACATTACAGTTTTCCCAAACCAAATAGCATAAATGCAGGAGACAACTTCTTAGTGTAAGACACAACAAAAATACATGGGAGGGCGAAGGAGATTCCTTTTTCATTCATTTACTCGCCATTGTTATGGGCTTTATTGTGTACTATATGTTATTATTATATAGATATGGGCATAATTTCAAAACGAAAATAAACAATATTTAATGAGCTAGAAATTATTTGGAGATTTTTTCATGTATACTTCTTTTTTACGTCCATCATTTTTATTAACTCAACAAAACATTGAAACTATTCGGTTAGAAAACATTATTAATAATAATAATTATTAATAATTAATAATAATAATAAACATTATTAATAATAATGTTTCGAGTTAAAAACTTGATAATTTAATGTTAAGCACAATTATTATTTATATATACATATAAATAATATAAAAATAATTAAATCTATATTGATATAATTATATACAGAAAAACAAATAAAAATGTGGAATACGTGTAAATACATACATGCATAATTATACATGTGCAGTTATATGTATAAATAAAATTTTTATATATCTATAAATTTATATATATGTATTTCTAAATTTATATATATTTATAAATTCATATGTATTTATAAATTTGTATGTATTTATACATTCAAATGTATTCATAAATTAATATATCAATATAAAATAATTATATTAATAGATTTTTTGAATATATGTAAACAAAAATATTAAAAAAAACAAAAAAAATAATTATTTAAAAAAAATTATTTATTTTTTTTTGTTAAATAATAACCGATCTTAAAACCGGTTAAATTAAATTTTATAATACATAATTAAATTACATATTATAATTTATAATATAATTTATATTTATATAATGTCATATGCATAAATATATATAATACATAAAAAAGTGAACCTAGAAAGATCACTCACCTGTGAAGCTAACATTTGAGCGTGAATTAATGGCAGGTTATTTTGTTGTGGCATCCATGATCCATTCGATAAACCGTTAGTTAATGCCTTTTGTTTTGCCGTTATAAATATTTAATACGCAAACATCCAAACGAAAACATAAACAAAAAAGGAGAGAATTTTTATTAGTAAATATTTGTCCAATTGTTAAAAATTGTTTGGTTGTAAAATTATATCCAATTGTGATGCACACCTGTACTGTTGCTTGTGTTAATGCGGCATTTGCATGCATACGCTGATTGGGCTGCTGTTGCTGCTGCTGTAGGGCGGCTACCGCTGCTGCATTTTGCGCTGCAAAACTATTTGCACCACCGCCTGCATTGCGTTTAAGCAGCGTTTGCTGTTGTTGTTGTGCAGCTGCAGCGGCAGCTGCATGTGATGACTTTTGTGACATATTTGGTTGATTCATTGGCTTTGGTGGTGGTTGTGTGGGTTGGCGAGTCCAATTTACTGAATTTATTGCATTGGAACGGTTGCCAATTAATAAATTAGAGTCAACTACTTTACTTGGCCAGTAGTCTTCGAATTCGGTACCATTGGGAAAGTAACTTTTGATATCTGTTAACGATATAACAGCTACATTCTCGCTAGAAAATAATTCATTACGTATGCCTTGCACTTTGCAGCAGAATTTTAGGTAAGCCAAATCCCAACCAGATAAATAGTCAGCCTTCTGTTTAAGATTTTCAGTTTCACCTTCGAAGTAAAACAAGGGAACCACTTGTTCGCCATTACGCAGTGTGTACGGCACAACAGATTCTTTGTTTATACGTATAAAACCGCATTTCTCTGAAGGTGCTTTACTTCCCGACACAAGTTTTCGATAACAAACATCGAGGAAGTGATGGAATTTTGTGGCATCAGATAAACGTACAACTAGATCCTTTGTTGTAAACAAGTCTCGCCCAAATTCTCCATCACAATGCTTATGATTAATTTCTATAAATAATCTTGCCTCTGCGTCTGTGATGTAGTAGCTTCGAACGCAAGTACAACTGGAATATATATCTGGATGTAGGGAGTTTAAATATTTCCCAAGCAATTTCAATTCAATCATGCGTACTGAACAATATTTTTCCTGTTGCCGAAATATATATGGAATGTGTACTTTCGAGAATGTAAACCAACCGAAATGACCCTTCTGAGATTCTTCATCACAAGGCGGTTTTTTTTCCGCAGCATTGTCGACATTACCATTACTTTGCGCAACAGTCGACCGTCCATTCGTATTAATGGCCGCCGTACCGTTAGGCAGCTTTGACTGGCGGGACAAATAATTCATAATACTGGTTTGGCCATTAGCGTTTGCCATGGGGCCTACGATACCATTAGTTGGCAAGCCACGGCTAGCGGCTAATTGTGCCGCCTGTTGCTGTTTAGCTTGTGTTTCCCTTTGTTTCTCCAACATTTGGCTTGCTAGTTCTTGTATTTCGGCTTCATCGGCGCGTTCCTTTTTAACAGTGGTATTCCAATTTGAACCCAGACTGTTGCCCTGTATGGGCAACGGCTGCCCATTGGCGCCAATGACGTGCACAATTTGGATGTCAGCAGACATTTCAAAACATAGAATTTTTATATCTTATTTCACCAATCTCAATGTTTTACACTTATTTTGTTTTAATTTTTATTCTTCTGTTTTCACCAATCACACATTTCTACATTTCTTTATAATTTAAGCAATATTCTTTTGTTTGGTTAATTTTTATTTGTCACACACATACGTTCTGATTTGATTTTTTGCTTATTGACTTTTGCTATTTTCTTATTTACTTGGAATTATTTCCTTTCTCTTATTTTGAGACGCACGGCAAAACGTGCTTTTCCAATACTTTTACTTGAGCTCATATCAAAACAAAAATACATACGTCAAATTTTTCTATTTTTTATATTATAAGCAATTTCTTCTTAAATCCTTAAATATTTTTTCTTAATATACTTAAACTTATAAATTAAGCACTCAACTTCTACTTTTAATTTATTTCATTAAGCTTTCGCTTTAATTTAATTTTGCATTTATTCGGTTTTTATTCTTTCTTTTGATGCAAATTTGCTTAAATCATCTAACCGAACCGTTCTACACGCGACGGCATCACTAAAATGAGTGTGATCGTCGTAACGAAAAATATTGATACGAAGTGCCAGCAAATGCTTTTTACACATTCGCGCAGTGGATGTATTGGTGTATATGTACATACACCAATACATAGCTACAGTCAACAAACATCATAGGAAACTACAAAACCAACAACAATAAACTCGCACAAAAAGACGTTGAAAGGCCCCACTTCGTGGTCGTAAATGTTCGTATTTTTCGTTTCAGTTTGTGAAATAAATATTTCTTTAAAATTTTTTTTTTGTTATTTTGAGCTTACATACTTATGCACATAGAAACTTATATACGACGTCGTTATTGCTTTGCTTTCGTAAAGTGTATAATAGCATTTTTTTGGGTATTATTTATGTATTTAAAAGGGCGCAAAAACTTGGTAAAAATTTAATGTGTGTAAATTTAGACGTTTAATGTGAGGTTAAGGTCTGAGATAAGAATAATATTTTATAAATACGTATGTATGTAATCTATACATGGCTATATACTTTGATCACATATCTGCACATATAAATATATAATCCATATACATATATTCCTAAATATAATATTTTAAAATATATATATACATATGCATATGTATATAATATATAATATATTATGTGTATAATATAATATAATATGTACACCATATAATGTATTATGTAACCAAGCATGTTGTACTCACTACATATGTATGTATATACTTACAGTAAAAACTCTGTTAAATAGACACTGTCAAATATGTAATACATACATACATATTAGCAATTATATAAATAGGTACACATATACATAGATATATAGATACATATAAATATGTGTACAGTGAAGACTCTATTAAATAGACACTATCATGAACGAATGTTTCTCTTAACTGGTAAATACATATAAAAATTTTTTATATACATATGTATGTATGCATGTACATATCTGCAAAACATACATGCATACATACATATATACATTTTTTCAAGCGGATAGTTTTCTTATCCGGGCATAGTTACTGATATCTTTGTGGTTTGGTTAGGAGAGGTTTGACTACTTTATATATGTATATGCATAAAATATACATATTTCAGATAATACATAAGTACACATATTTGTAAGCATTTAAATACATACATATATATGTGCATATTGAAAGTATAGAAATACAGACATAAATAAACTTGTGTAGGGGTGAACGCGTAGGGTGTATTGGCGTTCTACATTTAATTACGAAAGAATACTATTTAACACAAAAAATGTAACTTTAAGACTTCGACATTAGAGGAAATATATTGTATGATGAAGTTTGTTGATGATGAAGTTTGATGAAGTTTGGTTTAGTACCTACATACATATATTATCTAACAGGGTTGTATTTTTTTCCATTTTATTCATTTCGGAAATAGACAATGACAACGGAAATAGACAATGACAACGTCAACAAAACTTCTTATGAACAAACCAAAAGCAAGAAACGAGAAAAGAAAGTTGTAAAGGCTTATTCACACTAGCGGCAGCTTACTGCAAAAAAAAAAACAGTTTCCAATAGAAGTGTGGAATGGGAGAGACTGGAAGTTCATGTTTAACGATAATGTTACCGCAATTTTTTGAAGCGTGAAGCTCTAGCGACAGCTTAGAACTTCATAAATGACCCTGTGAATAGAGTCTATATGTTCGCTTTTAAAAAGTTTATTTAGTCTGAAATGTTTTAAAAGACAAACAATATTCTGGTAGTTTAAAATTATATTTGTAGACTAGAAATCTCGCGTTTTTGTGTCATGTTATAGAGGAGTAGTAGTACGGTTTTACCTGAATATAAACACAGAATTTCTTTTACTATTAATACAATGGGCCTATATAAGGTACTTTACGGATCGAGTATTTGTATGCGTCTTAATTAAGAAATGGAAATAATTTTACCTGGCATATATTTATATAGATCTTTATGGAATAAAATAAGAAGTGAGTATGATTTTACCTGTCTACGTACAATGCAATTTTGTTTATATCTAAACAGGGTAAATTATGCATTCGTGGTTTTTGTGCTTCTTGGTCAAAAGACGGAGAATGGAAGAGGATTTTACCTGATTGTTTGTATGTATATGTGTGCAATTTTGTTTTAAATATAGTTAATAGAAATATAGTTAATGTAAAACCAAAAATAAAATGACAAAAACTATTTAAAAATCATTACCCTACGGTAATCTTTGTTATATTCTGAGCAGTTCGAACAAAATCCAAGGTTTTCGAACTTATTTAAAAACATTTTGTAGACACTACAAAATCATTTGGTGTATATGTTTGTTATATTATTGGTATTGGATCACGGCCGCAGTTAGAGCATTTTGGAGAATCCTCACGGGGCTTCATACATAAGGAGTAATGATGCGTGTCCTCGCACACGCGTTCTTGCAGTTAGTGGCAATATGACCAAATTGTTGACAATTGTGACACTGAAGGTGGCCATTTAGCGGGCACTGAGCTTTAACAGTCACTTTTAGGTGAAAAACATTGAAGAGGTTGTATATATCCTTTTGGTCCGCCTGCCTAGTCTTTATATACATATATGTATATTCATTAATATATATTTAATATTTCATATTCATAATTTATATTTTTATTTAAAAAACAAATTTATAAAAAATAAATAAACTAAATAAAACTAAGAAATTAATTCTTTTAAATTAAACTTCACATGAGAAAGTTTTTATTTTTTAGAAAAGCGTGCATATAAATATGTAATACATTTGCCGATTTTTTTTTTAAATAAGAAAGTTTTGATTCTGAATTTTACAACTATGCTAACACATAGAAAACCACTGCCCATCCATCCCGCTTTCACCATAGGAATAGAGGAACTGCCGGCCATACGCATGTGTACTCAAGTATACGTGTGCAGTATGTGTACGTGTGTATGCACTCGTGTATATTTATGTACATATTAACAATATTTACAAATGAGCTTCGAATTTGCATTAATGCCTGTATATACATATGTACGTGTGTATGTTCATATGTATGTACGTATATGCATATGTTGGTTGACAATTAATAAATGAATATTTTTTTTATAAATAAATATCATCTTAAAAATAAAACCGGTATATCAAGTACTCGTACCTGTCAATTACAATTTTTTTAATTAGCAACAATAAAAAATTTACAAATAAATAATTTCAAGTATTTTTTTATTAATTTTTTTTAAAAATAAAATTTTGCAAATATTTTATGAATAAAATGTTAAATTTTTTTAAGTAATCTATAATGATATACATATGTATGTACATAAATTTGTAATACTTAACTTAATAAGTAAATTTATACCATATTGTTAGCTACTTATTTACTTAATATATTATATACATAAATAAGTTTACATAAAAACTGTTGTATGTAATATCACACACCTATAGTATTTAGGTATGTGTAAACATCTCCACGAACAAAAAAATATTTTATAAAAAGCTATTAATTGTCACCTACACAACCCTCGTCTGCTTAACTCAAAAAGGTTCATTTACCACAGCTGGGAAGGTGAAGTGTCTTAAAATTTTAGTACTCAAACTGGTTTACAACAGTATTTTTATAGCACAAAATATGGATTCATATACACATATGTATGTACATATGTATATGCATTCTACATTGCATTTTATTATGTGCATACGGACATATGTATATACATACATATGTATATACTGAAAATATTTGAACAGTGTATGGTCCTATAAAAAAAAATTATTTTAACGATTTATTTTGCAAATATCAACTTTATTACATTATTTTACATTTTTTCGTAAAAGCAAAAAATTAGTTTATTATTTTATCAGGTTTTGCTTTTACTCATTTTCGTTTAATAACAGCAACAATGCTTCATTCATTTTTATTAAATTTGTTTTTGTTTTTTTTTCGCGCTTTTTTAAGTTTAGTTTGTTTTTGACACTACAACGTCGCCGTCTTGTCGCCATGTCTTCATCTAATCATTCGTTTTGTATGTATTCTAGTTTGTATGTACATATGTATGTATATATGTATATTTAATTGTGTGTTCGTTCATATAGTCAAGTGAATTATGTACTTTAAAATATTTTTTTATAAATTATAGAATTAATGATAGTTTATTACAAAGCTCGCATGTATGTACATATATATACCATATTCATATACTTATTCGCATACATATGTACATATATGTATGTACATACATATGATTTTTGTTTTATAAAGTGATATCATTTAAGTCGTGCAAGGTCAATTAAGAATTATGTACATACATAGATATGTATGTTTATAGTATATGTGTATATTATATTGCAATTTTATAACTAAATGTATGTACATATATAAATTAAAATTTAATGTGAATAAGTATTTACGTATGTATATACACTATTTGAATAATTAGCAGCATATAACTTTATTAATAATTTACATATTATATTATAATATACATACATATATGTATGTACTCAATTTGCGATTTCGGACTAAACCCTACCTAACCCCGAATTCTCTTATTTTGACAACTCAAACAAAATTTTACTAATATGTATATGAACATAATACTCTATGGATTGTTTATGGTATAGAGACCAAGCAAAACCAAAGATAATATAAAAAAATAAAGTAAAATTAGTGAAAACAATTCAAAAAGAGAAGAGAAGAAACATGCTAGGCTTTTACCGGAAACAATCTATAAAAGTTATCACAGTCAAAATCGCTTATACACTTTTAACTTAAGATAACTTAAGAATTGCATGCAACTAAATGAAAAGAACTAAAAAATTGGGAATTCTAACAGGGCACTCACTCTATGTTGAATTGTCACCTTAGGTTAGAGTGATAACAATGTGTATTAAAGTTCACTTCAGTACAAATGATAGCCTCTTGTGATACCAGAAACGAGACACTGTGCATCTGCCAGATTGCCTTAAAGGTAAAATCCTGAAGCATTTAGTACGTAAACACCGTCCCCTTGTGACACCCTAAAGGAACCACTATCCAAAACAGCTACCATAAAGGTAAAAGCTCAAAGCT